CAGGAGGAAAAGACTTGAAAGATGCTAAAGACCTGAAAGACAGAGAAGAGAGTGAGTGTACCCAAAGCAAGGCCTAAGGTGGGTAAGCACCATCCCTGGGGGCGGCCAAGGGGGTTACTTACTCCTTCCAGCCCCTCACCTCTTGCAGCTCCCACAGGCACCAGCAGCCAAAGAGACAAATGCAAAAGCCCCAGGATTAGCCAAAAAGACACAAAACCATCAAGGAAGCAAAGATCCAGCCTTGTGCATAAGACTCTTTGTCAATGCCTGGGTCTTAAATTCTGATACATAAAACAGCAGGATCTCTAGGGGCAGCCTGCCAAGGTCTCACTTCCAGGTGTAAACACAGGAAACAGATACACCCAGATAGGCGCAGACTCCTGTGGTTGAGGAGCAGTTGGTGCAGCTCCTACACACAGGGTTTCCGGGATAGTAAAATGTGCTGCATGTACCAGCCTACCAACCTTCCCATAGAGAGCAGTTTACTGCCCAGCAAAACCAAAGGTCAGGGGAGAGGGATAGTTCTCTTACAAATAAACCAAATCTTCTGCCCTGAATCAGGATTCATGCTAGAAAAAGGCCAAGAGGGAACAGAAGCCATTGAGGCAATGGAAAATCTAGCACTACTTATAATGGAAGCTCTGAAAACCAAGGGCAAAGGTGAATGTGTCCCAAAGTAAGGACTTGTGGCCCCCAGTTTAAGCTTCCCCACTCCTCCCCCAGGTCCATGCCCTCTTCTTCACCCCATATGTGAGACCTGAACTGCCCCAGCCCCTCCCCATTGAAGATGCCCTTGCGTGGTGCCTTCAAGTGTCTCCAATCTCTCACCCACATTCAAACCACCAGGGTTGTCTGCCACAGATTCGTCCTGGGGCTGAACCCCCAGCCTTCCCACTGCAGAGCCCACCATTTCTCCTCCTCTCACCCCCGCTCTGCCCAGGTGGGGAAGAGGACAGATCCTTGGCCTCTAGTAAACCAACCTCCATCCCTCCAACTTCTGTGTAAGGCCCTCCAGGGCTCTGGGAGTTTGCAGGAGGATGGATAGAGTAGGGCTGGCGCCTGGGGGCTTCAAGCCTCATTCATGTTCTCCCTCCCACTGTCCCCTCTCCCTCACCAACTTTCTGTCCCTCTCCTTTTTCTTCTCCTTCCCACCTCCTTCCCTTATTTTTTCTATGGCTATTCTAGATGCTATCATGATATTAAGAGTAAACTCATGTTGAGGATTAAAGCTAAGATAAGAAACTGAGAAATGATGCTCAGAGCACCAGGCTTTAAGTCTCCACCTAAAACCTGAAAAAAAAAAAGAAAAAAACAGCTATGAATGGAAAGCATCAGACCTAGAGGATGTATGTGTTTTCCTTGAGGAGAGCTGAGGTGAAACACCTGGCTGGGAGCCCCTAGGAGGGAGAAGCCTCGCAAGGCGTCAGTAGGCACACTGGCCCTTCACCCTGAGCCACGGCTTCCTGAGTAGGCCTTCCCAGATAGCACAGGCCCCAGAAAGTTCTTGGATTCACACCCACCTCCTCACTCATGTTTGCAGGGACTGAGCCTTAATTCCCAAACTGGTTAATGCCATGTTACCGTCCATCAGTGTTGAGTGAGACTTTTTTCCATGGCTGTGGAATTGTCACTAGGGATCACAGATTGTAAGCACCCCATATTCCGTGGAGAACTTCTGACATATGGAGGATTACGTCCCCTGTCCCCAACCCTGGGACACACTAAGAGTTAGAAAAGCCAGTGCAACCCCAGTCATCCCCAAGACTATCATTCCCTGCCCTGTGGAAACGGGCAGAAATGGAATCATCAGCGTCACTGGCTCTGTGAGGAATGCAGCACTCCTACCCAAAAGACTTTTCCTAAACATCCCCATAGAAAAAGGAAGGGAGACACTTCTCCCATCTCCAAGTCAAACAAGGGACTGTGAGACTCACTCACTGATTGGAGGTTCCAGGCCCAGAGGAGACTGGCAGCACATTCCCCAGATGAATGCTCACTCAAGACTGAGCTGGAGCCGCCCAGACTGGAGCTCTGTGAGGAAAGTGGGTCCCCAAGCTGCAAGGGTAAGTTAGGGAAGACAAAACAACTGTAAATAATAGCCCGAGGTATAATGGCACCAATACAGTAGAGGCTCATAGCTTTCTCATATCCTGGGAGGATATGGGCAGTCATCAGTCTTCTCCACGTAGCAGTCATTTAGGGCTTCAGGCTGTCAATGGCTCTGCCATCTTCGTTACCCGGCAACAAGATCATCCTGTCATCTTCATCACCATTCCAACCTCAGATGCAGGGAAGGAGAGTACAACAGATTGCTTGGAGGTTTGTCTGGGCTACGTGTTGTTGGTATGAACACACTCTCATGGCCACACTTAACTGCAAGGGCTGGGAAATATCTGATAGGAAGCTGATCAGAATGAATGTTAGTGTTCCTGTAGCAACTTCTGCCTCAGGGTGAGTGAACAAAACCCTGGTGCCTGCTTGTCATCTGAAGTTTCTGGAGGCAGGAAGTTTCCCACAGTAGCCCAAAGAAGAAGTGAAAGAAAGACCTCGGTCTCATGAAGCCTTTGTAGGGCTAGGAAGAGAATTCAGAATTTCCCACTGTCCCCAGGAAGAAGAGCGGTCAAAGACCAAGAGGCTGCACTGGGGTTTCCTGGCCAGACGAGAAGCAGCAGCACATGGTAGCAGGGTTGAGGTGTGGGCCACTGGCAAGGCCCAAGGAACTACACTCTGAGGGGTTCCAAGGCTATGGTGGGAGCTGGGGTGAGGCAGAACTCCATCCGCCTGGAGACCACCTCACCCTGCATCAGTGAAGGCCCCCAGAGGAGCAGGTGAATGGAGACCAACCCAGAAGGAGATCAGGGCTTCTCCCTCACTAACAGCAACCAGTTACGTTAGAAGATCTCCTGCTCTGTCCCACCTTCCTGAGATCCAGTACCAGGCCCCTCCCCATTTCATGTCCCTCCAGTTAAGTGTCTGCTAGAGAGAGGAAAAGAGGTAAAGTTTTAAACTGGATGGACTCCTAATAAACAAAAGGAACTAAAAATGTGGAATCTGCTCAATGTCACTAAAAATGGTAAAGGAAGATTTGACAAAGCAAATTTGGAAGCACTGTTTGCAGAAAAAGAAACCTCCACCAAGTCCTGATTGGCCAATAAACTTGTTTCCAAAGATAAAATTAACCTACAAGGACCAGAATTTGCCATCATATAGTCAAGAACTGAACGCCCAGTTCTAGCAGGCTCTTCTGTCATGTCTACTAAAAATTCAGCTCCAGTCTTAAAAAAAAAACTCAAGAAACACAGAGAAAGAGATAAAGACAAAGAGAATGATAAAGCAAATATGACTAAATGTTAACTAAATGTCCACAGTGGATCTGGAAAGAGAAGGTGAAGATGCAGTGCACGATTTTTGCAAATTCCCTGTAAGTCTGAAGTTATTTCAAAAGAAAAAGTAAAAAATTACATAAAGTGTATAAAGCATAATAAGAAAAAAAAACAGGAGACGTCATGTGGAAATCCACATTTCCAATTTCCCTTGAAGAACTTGAGGGGCAGGTGACCACTTCAGATGGGACAGGCACCCTGAAGTTCACTCCAGCTCTACCACTTCCTCCTGGCTCCCTCACCCTGAGGTGGAGGGACATTTATCATTTATCATTGCACCTGTGCTGTTGCCTACCTTACGCTTGGCCTGCCTGGCTCATTTACGTCACCTGCCTGACTCCTATAAGCAATAAAATTTGCAACCTAGTCTTTGGCTCCAAGTTCCTGTCTGGACATTGCTAAGTGAAATAGTTGGATGACATGGGAGCCATGAGAATTTCTTTTGCTTAAACCACAGGCAGGAGGGCCACCTCTGTGTTCTTCGAGGACTTACTCTGTGGCTCTTTGGAGCTTACCACTTCACCTATGAAACCAGGAATACAGAAAAGAGTCCTTCACATTAAGCTTTCTGAAGTTGTACATAACATGGAAAAAGCTTTCTAAAGATGTACATAACATGTCTTTTTTCCTCTGGGCCCTACCTGATGTCCACTAAACCTTCCAGAATCAAAATGCTGAAGATACTGTAATAGTTCATTTTTTCTGTCAGCCTGGCTGGGAGACAGTGTCCAGAAATGTGTTCAAACATTACTCTGGAGGTTTCTGTCAGGGGGATTTTAGATGAGATTAATGTATAGGGGTGGACTTTGAGTAAAGCAGATTGCTCTTCATAATGTGGGTGAGCCTCATCCAATGAGTTGAAAGTCTGAATAGAAGAAAAGACTGGCCTCCCCTGAGCGAGAGGGAATTCTGCCAGCAGATGGCCTTTGGACCTGAACTGCAGCAGCAGCTCCTTCCTGGCTTTTCCCCCTGACAGCATTCAGATTTGAACTCTAGGTTTTGGATTTGCCAGCCTGCATTATCATGTGAGCCAATTCCTTAAAATAAATAAATAAGTAGAGAACCCCAATTAATACAAGTGTGGATTAGTTAAGACCAGAGAAATTTAATGTCCCCAAGGCCCAATATTTATTGTGAAATGAAACTTAATATTCAAGCAGAGTTGTGATTGATTGCATAGACACCTGGAGCCAGAAAGCCCACGTTTAAAACCAGCTCTGCCTCTTACGAACTGTGTGATCATAAGCCAGTTCCTCAACCTGCCTTTGCCTTAGTGTCCTCATCTATAAAGTGGAAATGCTAAGAGTACCTATCTCATTGTGTTGTTATGGGGATTAAATGAGATTAAAAATTATAAAGCTCTGGGAACAGTGCTTGGCACATGTTATGTGCTGTGTGTCTGTTAAAGAAGTAGAACTGGAGTTTGTTTGCTTTTTTAATTCCACCCCACTGTTTGTCTTCACACCTCCTCTATTGGCCAAGGTGATTGATCGAGGGCATCAGGGGAGTGCAGCAGAGCTTGGCAGAGAAGCCTCGCCATGTGATACCAGCAGTCAGGGTAAGATGGCCCTCACAGACACAACTTACCTCTGTATCCTGGGTGCTATCTACCCCAAGAGTCTGTGTCACTTTCTCCTTTGGACTCCCTTCCGCCTCTCCAGCCCCAGGATAGGAGGAGGGGATACTGGAACAGACATTCAGCGTGGGTCATACGGGGTGGGGTGCAGCAGTCAGGGTCCTGGCAGAAAACAGATGGCTTACTCAGATGGGCTTTTTGAAGAGACCCTTTAATGGAAAAAAAAATTATTTACAGAGTTGCAAGTAAGGACTAACAACAGCAGGAATTCATTGCCATCCCCAACACTGATGCAGCAGGGACAGGAAGTGATGTTCCCTGAGACCATTTAGGAGCCAGAGATGTGGAACTGGAAACCATCAGAAGGAAGCCTCTATCATCGTAGAAGAACATAGCCATTGCCATACCATGCTGTATTAATTCTCTGTGGGTTGATAACTAATTATTCCCAAACCTATCACCTTCAAATAACATCATTCTTTATCTCACAGTTGCTATAGGCCAGGAGTCCAGGTGCAGCTTAGTTAGTCCTCTGCTCAGTCTCTGACAGGGCAGCTACTGAAGGTGTCATCAAGGCGGTAGTCACCCTAAGACTCAGTGAGAAGGATCTGCTTCCGAACTCCATCTTCAGTTCCTTGCCATGTGGGCCTCTCTGCAGGCCTCGCCATAACAGCTCACTTAATCCCAGCAAGCAAGCTGAGAAAACCCAGAGAGCGAATGAGGGTGCGTGTGTGTAAACAAGACAAACTCATAGTCCTCTATCACCTGATCTCAGAAGTGCTATCCATCCTTTCTGTTAGACGTGCATCACTAGGTCCAGCCCACACTCGGGCAGAGGGATCACACAAGGGCATGAATACCAGGAAGTGGGGCATGCAGGAAACCATCTTGGAAGTCTACCTACCACACTCATCAAAACAGGGAGGGAGCAGGAAGAACAAATGCCTTGGCCTCTCTCCCTTCCCACCCTCTGATCTTCCACCACTTCCACCAGTGTTTCCCATGGGTCAAACTCAACAGAAGCTAGAGGACAAGGGAGCCCAGGGGATGCAACCCACAAAGGTCATCCTTCCAGACCAGTGCAGAGAATGGCAGAGAACAGATCTGCTGTGGGGAGGGGAGGGAAGATGGGCAGATAGAGAATAACCAGGATGTGAGAAGAGACACAGACTGGCCCCATCACAGTCATCATGGAGGTCACATAACACAGATGATGAAATGTCACTGAGGACAACCCCCAGATACATGGGCTGTGTCTTTTATTTAATATGCATATCCAATTCTTTCCCAGGCCCTATAATTTGGGGTAACATTTAACAGGGGCCCTGTTAATGAAAATTTTCTATGGAACGAATGTTCCTACCTTCCACCTCACCCCAATTTATGTCAATATCTGTCTCTTTACTTCCTGAGGCCAAGAGGAGGATTGGGGGAGGAAAGAGATGAGCAACGACATTTGGAAAGACCCTGCTCTGTGGCGGTTCTAGCATTGATGCCAAAGTTCTAATTTTCTCTTAGAAAAAAACTTGTGCGAATATCATCGTTTTCTCCTATTGCTTTCGTAATGTGCTCAGGAGATTGTGATCCAGAGCCAGAGCTTCTCCTTGGACAGGATACACTCAGACCCCTGCACACACACCCAGAGCTCTGATGCAGTCCACACTTTCTCTTGCCCCTCCGCTCTCCCCACCCAGTGAAGGCCACCACCACCTTCAGGACTCCCAGCTCCGGGGGGGGGGAAGAAATCCCAAGTCAGAGAGAATTATCTGCTCTTCCAGATTGTTCCTACCGTGGATCACCTCCCCACTTGAAGGGAGAATCATGTTGCAACTTCAGTGAATTATCATCCTTTCACCCTCAGAAACAGGGGTCCCCCTGGTTGGTCCTGAAGACAGAGGTTGACGGGGGTCCATTGAGCTAGGGGAGTTCCCCCTAGTGGGTGCAAAACTCCAAGAACAGGAGACAACTCCAGAGAAGACTCTCTGCATCCCAAGCCATCCCCTCAGAGGAGAAAAGAGCCTTCAACTCAGTCCCCACATGTTCTGAGTGTGGACCCCTGGGGAAGGGGTCTCATTTAGCCTGGGAAACCTTCAAACCCCTACATGGAACCCCATGGAGACTGAGCCCAGAGGTACATGGGGTGGAGAAGGAAAGAGGGAGGAAAGGATGGCTGGATATCAGTAGAGAAAGACCTCCCAGCGAAGATGCCAGCTCTCAGCCACCCCACTTTGCCTTTGTCGACTTAGCAGGTGATGGTTGGGGCCAAAGCGGAGGAGGAGTCAGAACCCCCAAGCTTGATTCCCATTGGTCTCTGGTATCCTTAAAAGGGTCCCGCAGTCTCACACTGGTATCCTGGGCCTTCCAAGGATTCTACCATATACCTACTCTGGCACCCAGAGGCATAAGATTCACGGTTCTCCTTCTCCTGGCATCTCTGGGGGGGCCCTGGTCTGTGCCAGGGAGTATGGCCCTTCCCCTGTGCCCCACCAGAGCCCTCACAGCTCAGGGCGGCCTCGGCTCCAGTCTTCATTCCTCTCTGCCAGGGCTGCCTTCTGTCTCTGCAGGTGACTCCTGCCCTAGCTCTCCCACATGCCCACATGGCCTCTTCGCCCCACTGCTTGGGAAGCCAGGACCCCCTGGGCCTGCCTGCTCTCCCAGCTCTTCTCCCCACACATCCTCCTTTACCTACTGTGCTCCAGCCACACTGGCCTTCTCCTAGTCCTTGCCTCTGGACCACCGCTTCTAGCCTGGCCAGTTGTTCCATGCATAGGAGTGCCAGGCAGGGGCTGGTGGTGGCTGAAATCTAACGCCCTTTCCACTAGCCAAGCATATCCTGCCCATGACTGCGTCACCCAGGATGCCTTTTCCAGTCGCCCAAAATCGTTGCTCAGGCCAGGACGGCCCTGCTCTTTCTTGAACATTGAGAAATTCCTTCTTGCTCTTTCCTCTGCCTGGAATATTTTCTTTGCCCTGTCCCTTCCCCCAGCCAGCTCTGAATGTCACCTGGCCCATGCTTTCTTATCTGTCAAATCTCAGTTTAGATATCAGTTCCTCAGAAAAGACTTCCATGAATGTGAAGGGAAAATTAGACCCATCTGCCCTTACCCTACCACACTGTGCTTACCCTTCTAGCACCTTCACACTGGTAACTAGATCATTGTGTAATGGAACGTAAGTTCTGCCGGAGCAGGGTCTTTCCACCTCCTTCAGCACCAAACCCCCTTTACTTGGCAGAGAGCTTTGCATAAACATTGTGTTGAAAGAATAAAGGGAATGAGGGCTGGGATCCAACCCCAGAATCCCTTGGCGTGGCCCCAAGGCCCCTGCACTGTCCTCCACCACAGAGGAGCAGCCCCTAATGGGAACCTCGGGGCTCCCTCACAGGCCAGAGGCAAGGGGGAAGGTGGGCAGTTTGGGGAGAAATACTGCACTTCTCCAAGGAAAACCTGCTTCCAAATACTGCAGGAGGAGTTAAACATCAGAAGAAATACCCTGGTGGACCTCCTGATGTGGCAGAAGAGCATTCCAACCAACAGGGGATGGTCTACCTGTGCGAACAAATGTTCCAGAGAGCTGAAGACTAGGAATAGGAGGGAGGGGGCTCAGGCGGATCAGGGCCAGTCCCCCATGTCATCTCCTTCCTCCCTAGCAGGAGATGCCTCCTCTCATCCCAGTGAGGCTGCTCCCCCCAGGATTCTGTGACCTGTGAGTCCTTCTCTGCCTGCTATCCTTGCCCCCGGAGGAGGCCCTTACAGCTGGGGATGGCCATGGAGGGGGGAAGAGGAGGGATGGGGACGTGAGGGAGATGGGCTTTGGGTGCTGCCCTCGGTCATGATGGGAGGAGCATAGACTGGGTGAGATAAGGCTGAGGACAAAACGGGATCACCCAGACAGGCAGGACAATGCGGAAAATAATGTTGTGAATAAAAGGGAGAAAAAAATGAGGTAAAATGTTGTGAGAAACATCCCACATTGTACTGACACCTCCCATAATTCCCACCTCCTTAGCAAGATGCCCCCTACCCCACTGCAGACCTCATTTCCAACCCTATCTTCCATGCCTTCCCTGCATGTACCACCCACGGCAGCTAAACTGAACTGGTTTGCATTCCCCACACAGCCTGCCCCACATGTGCCTTCCCAGAGCTCCTGCTCACTTCCTGTTCCCCCAGAAGCCCCTTAGAACATCTTCCCTGCCAAAATCTTGCCTTCAAGACCCAGCTTCTCTCTGATGTGCTCCCTGATTCTCCCCATGCCCTAGCCCAGATCCCCACCAACCCTGTCCACCTTACAGGAGGCTCTGTCCTACCCCATTCAGGCTGTACAACACATCACCACAGGCTGGGCAGCTTAAGCAACAGAAATTTATTTCTCACAGTTCTGGAGCGCAAGTCCAAGATCAAGGCACCAGCATTGTCGGGGTCTGTGGAGCACCATCCTGCAGGCTGCATACTGCCAACTTCTCTTTGTATCTTCACATGCAGAAAGCGCTCTCTGGGGCTTCTTTTATAAGGGCACTAGTCCCATTATGAGGGTGCTACCCTCTTGACCTCATTACCTGAGAGGACTGCACCTCCTAATACCATCACCTTGAGGGTTAGGATTTCAACATAAGAATTGGTGTGGGGGGGAGCACAAACGTTCAGTCCATAAAAGACACATAATGTGTAGAAATCCCAGCCTAAACTGGGCTGATGGCTGTATCCTTTCTATATCCTGGCAGCCAACACATATTAGTTATGCTGGGGCCCTGTCACCCATTCCAAAGGAAAAATACACTTTGATTTTGCTAAAATAAATAAGTTGGTGTGTTTGTAGCTGATCCTGCTGAGGGGACCAAAGCTCCAGCAGAATCTGCTTCATCCCAAGAGACAGCCCCAGCCGTGAGGGGCCCCAGGGGAGCAAGGACAGGCCCCCGAGTAAGTCTCCATCTCAACACCGCGTAACAACCCAGAGAAGCTCTGGCAGCAGGCAGACATGATGCCTCCACCCACAGAGACAAGCCCAAGGAGAAGCAGACATACTCACCTGACCACAGAGGCACGGGTAGGGTGCACACTTGAGATATAATGAGTCATAAGAAATACATATTTGGTCATTCATCCGACCAAATATTTATTTCCCAGGTATACTGGGCTTCATTCACAGTTCCTGAAAACACT